CCTTTAATGGTATGCTTTCTTGTGCAATTTAATGATTAAAGGTTTATCATTTCATTGCTTAAAGTTTTGTTCCAGAGGGTTTATGATTGCAAATAGGTTTTACAATTGCAAATAGGTTTTACCTATCTTTCTTTATGGCAATAATATTTCAGGGCAAGCTAGATAAATTGCATTCAGATGCTTGATCACTATTTCAGTTAGAAAGTTACTACTTAAGAATGAATTTGCATATCATGACAAAGCTCGTAAACAGAAGTTTAGTAGTATACACTTTAATATTATAAAAAAGACAGTGTGTCATCAATTCTAGGCAACAAGGTAATAATTCACTGGAAGCTACAGATACCAGAAATGAAACAAAACAAACAAAAATAAAATGAAATTTAAAAAAGGACAAGGAATAGACCCACGAAAGGTATAAAATGACAAATTATGGGGATTAATTAAAGACTTTGGGTTGCTAAATACAGAATCAATTTCTAAAAATTTATTTTGCTGTACCTAATAACATCATAAAAATATTTAGATATAATTAAAAAGCATTTACAATATACAAGGCTCTTCAAAAAATATTCATCTAAACTTTTGTGAAGAAATTATAAAATATATAAAATATTATGAAAGATCTTAAGCAATGTCCATAAACAGTGATACCATACTTATAAATATGACTTATATGAAGATATATATTTTTAATTTTATTTATTTTTAATTGGTTATGAATATTCATGAGATAGAATGCTGATTGTTACCCCTTATGCCCATGATGTGGGGGCAAGATTCACACTGGCTCTGTATCCATTACTACAAATTACATTTGTACCCCATGTCCCCCACCCAATTATCTCCAACCTCCCTTCCCCCCCCCCATTCCACTTTGTTCCCAAGGTATCTTCTCTCCCTCTGCAAGTCCAATGCACTACTGTGGTCTTTCTTTCCTTCCTTCCTTCTCTCGTAGCTCCCACATATGAGTTAGTGCATGCAGTATTTATTCCTCTGTGCTTTGTTTATTCCACTCAACATATATTTCCAACATATAATTTTTAACAAATTGGTCTGTAACTACAACATAATTCCAAATAAAATTTAACAAGTGTTTTCAATTAAAGTGACAAACTGGTTGCAAATTTTTGAGGAATAAACTGGAACAGAAAGAGCCAAGTCATTCCCGAAGAAGTATCAACGAAGCATATATCAATTTCA